CAGTCACATTACATCTTTGATGTGACGTGAACCACTGCCCTCCTGGACTTCAGAGCAGAGGATGAGGACTCCACAGCACTGGTTCCCTTTCTCAGTCTCTCTCCCCCATGTCTTGTCTCTCCCATTTTAACCTGTCCACCTGCCCTTGAGGCTTCATCCTCTCTTAACCTTTAAATGCCCTACAAACATTAGTTTTCCCTATGTTTCTGGTCCTATATAAACGACAAATAACATGAATAGCAAATCTTAATTCGTAAATGGCGTTTTGTCAGTAAAAGAATATGTGTAAGCTTCTCTTCCAGCTAAAAAGTAAGCAAAATATTTTATCTTAGTGTGAGACTAAAAGGAATCAACCAAAAAGAAATGTATTGAGTGCTCACAGGGACAAAGTCAAAGGTGGGAAACATATAAAGAAGTACCGGATATAGATCCCCAAGGACCTTATCATCTAAACCAGAGTTGACAAACGATGGCCTACAGGCCAAATCTGGCCTCCACCTATTTCTGTAAATAAAGTTTTATTGGAACACAGCCATGCTTTAAAGCAAAACAAAACAAAACATTATCTGCTCCTTATAGAAAAAGTTTGCCGGTGCTGATCTAAACAAACTACCACTACCAGCAACAACAAAATATACATACACATATATAGCCATCTACCTATCCATCCTTTTAACAAATATTTATGCTGTGGGCACCGTACTCGTCTCTAGGAAATGAGAAACACAGCGGGTTCCTGCCCCTAGGAAGGCCCACAGTCTACCGAATTATCCATCAGTCATGAGAAATAAATACAAAAAAAGGAGAGAATGTTGGAGGCTGGACAGATCCATGAGTAACTAAAATTGCCTGTGAACCATAGAGGTGACTTCCAAGTTGAATCGGGGTGAAGAGAAGAGAGGGGAAGGCCTTGGCAAAATTGAAAAGAAGAGGCAGGCAAATCCAACCCATGGATGAAGGGGCAGCAAATGGCAGTTGGGCTGCCTCCCAGTATATTGAGGTGTGAGGGGAAGATGGTATGATTTGTTTACCACTTATCCTCCACGCCGGACATGAGGTTTTATGAGGGTGCAGACAATGTTTGTGTCATTCACTTCTGTCCCTAGAATTAAGCAACATGCCTACCATACTTGATATGCTGCTTGATAAATATTAAAGAATTAAATATTAGATGAGAGGAGATTAAATGAAAAGCTCATTTAATGAATGAAAATGGCCAGACCACCTTGAATTAAATTCTAGACAAAGTTATAATTCCATCAATGGCAGCAGATTAGGAGAGCGTGATTAGCTACCAGGCAGAGCTCAGCAAAGACTCATTGCTGGATGCCTAGGCCGACGTCCAACAACAGTAGGGCTCAAAAAGCAAACATGAGCCAATCTTTTGGCCTTACCTGTCAGTAAGTAGCATGTGACAGGATACAGGGATCTTAGTAAACAGTCCACAGGGCTCATTCACTTACCAACAGAGATGTAACACATGAATATACTGATTCTCGAAGAATTCATAACTGGAAATGATGTCACAGTCCTCTATGGTTTGACCATTCTTATACCAAGTTACCTCTGGCTTGGGCTGACCTGGTGAGACAGAAATAAGAATATTCTTATTGCATTAAGTATTTTTACAAAGGAACATCATAAAGCTATGAACTAGCGTGAGTAATAAGCAGCAAGGAGAGGCAGGATGGACATGTCAGGTGGGAAAGCTCCCACTCACTGAGACAACTGCATCCAACACACATGTTGTGTGCCTGCAATGGTGCTGCCTGGATGGGGATGGGCACACAAAATGAAAAACAGTGCCTCCAGCCTCAAGGTGCTATTAAGAAAAATTATCTAAAACTTAGAAGTAAGACAAAAAAAATATGGGTAGTAGCCTCTTTCAAACTATATGGCGACAAAGGTCCATCTAAGCATTATCTAGGGGAACGTATTTTGTTCCATTCGATGATTACTATTAATTAAAATTTCTAGATTTAGTGAAGTTACATGGAAAGTCGTAGACTTTTATACAGGAAAGCTACAAATGATCTCTGTCTGGTAGAAAATACAACCCCATAAATTATGTTTTATTGTCCTATAGGACACTAACCAGTGTTTTACCTAACCCACCAACGTTAGCCTAACATTCCTTTATTAAATTGTCTATCAATCTTTCGTTCCTCAAAAGTTCTTTGACCAGGCCTTAATACTTTCTGGTTCCCTTCTTCTTTAAAGAGTTGGAAAAAAAAAAAATCTTTGAAATATTAATTTCATAGCTGCCTGGGAGTCACTTTAATCTTTCTGAAAATTATACTTCAGCGACAGTCAGGGTCGAGTGTATATTATGATACAAAAGAGAGAAGAGCAAAGTGGATGAGCAAGTGCCACATCTTCCCGAGGACGGAAGACTCCGGCAGGCAGTCTCCCCAGGCTGGCGCTGCGCCTACGTGACTGGCGTCGTCACGCACCTACGTGACTGGCGTCGTCACGCACCTACGTGACTGGCGTCGTCACACAAACTGACCTACACTCTCTCCCTCGGACCGGGTTCGCCCTCCCCCGGCGAGCGTTAACCAGATGTAACGTTAGTGGGTTAATCTGGTAAAGCCCCCAGCAATTCCGTTCACACAGTGGGGTGTTTTCCCCTTGCGATGGGAATAATTTTCAGGATGGTTTCCGGTGTGTCCCAAGGAGCTTCCTCATTAGCCTCCGTGTCATAGAAAAGTCACCGGGATGTGCTAAATGTACAGGAAGAAAGCCTGGCGTTTGGGAAAATACACCATTCTGAATCCATCCTGGGGACATTCTTGTGTTTTCTGTCTTATCTATCGTGGGATTTCTGGCAAGCAAAACCCCAGAGACCACTAAGAGAAGAACGCCACCTTCTCCTGAGACCTGTACCACGGACAGGACCTGGTACTGAGGGTGGCAGTGCCTCTCTGTGAGTCTCCTATTTGGGGTCTCCCAGCTAGACTACCTCTGCGCCGGCATCGCAAATGAGCTTGGTGGCAACTGTGGGTGTCCCTCTTTGCCTCCTCCTTCAGATAGGCGCTTGAATAATTGGTCCCCAGAGCCAGGCGCCGACAGACCTGCATGCAAGGA